ACTGTTATAGAGGCAAAGTTTTTCTAGCCTTATTAATTGTATGTCATGTTTTATGTAATATTCTTCACATTTCATTAAGTGTATTAATAATGCAATAAATAAAGCAATAAATGATGGCAAAACGAAGTTATACTTGTAGATTCAAAACTAAAATCGCCAGTAGGTGGCGGCAAGTCACTGTCTAATGAGCAAGGCGAAGCATTCATTCATTCATTCAGGAACGAAGTAAATGGTTGTAGTTATGAAAGGCTTATTAATCAGTTCCGATTATCAGTACTCTCCGAATCATTCAAAGCTGCAGATTCATTCACTAACGAAACACTGCTGTTGCTTGGAGACTCACACCAGTTCTGTTGCGGATTTCGTTGGAACTATTATTTCCTTGTAAAATGTAACAAACAATATTGTGTTTAAAATGTAGGCTACACTTTAATATTGCCTTTTTTGTTGAACTGTTATAAATCAATGTCACATTTGCAGTCTTTTGGATATTCAGGGAAAATAGCATTCTCGTAGGTTTCAGAGCGAAATAAGAACGTAACAGTGCTCGCTTTATAAAATTTCTAATAATTGTTTATATGATTGAATCTTCAAACTGCTAGCACTTTGCAATTTCGAATTATGCCCTATTGTAAGTGACGGAGTATTTTATGTTTCAGCGATTTGAACGCGCCGGCGCCTCATGCGCAAATATTCATTGCAAACGGCCTGTTCATTATTAAAATAAAACCTAGAATCACCAATACAGATAAAATGTTACACGGTCCATTTAAATAATCTGTATTATAGTCTGTGCCAAAGTTTAATTAGAATGATTAAATCAGTAAGCCTTGAGCGACATGTCAGTAAATGTGTTAATAGATTTGAACTATACTAAGTATGAAATAAGTGCATTTTTTAAATGTATTACTTTTTTACTAAGGGATGCAAAAATTAAACTTTTGCCATCGATTATGCACCCCTATGTCTGTTTAAACTTTTCGTTTTCAATCAACTGCAAAACACAAATAAAGATATTTTTAATGCTCCTTAAAAGTTTTTGCTTCAAAAAATCATAAAAGTCTTCTGAAGAGATACAATTACGTTATATTCATACATAAAGACCTTTCTTTTACAATCTCTTTATGAACTTTTTGAAGTATGAAAGTTTTGATGAAATGGACTTTCTGTGGAGGAACAGAAATCTGTCAGGTTATATTAAAAATCTCTTAATTTGTGTTTGTAGATTGTAGCGAATTTAGCTCAACGACAGGAAATATGAATAATTA